GTCTGCCTGGAGCCTTGCAGTGTCTGCAATGGAAGACACTGTCATGCAGATTCGGGTGTCATCTGCAAAGGAAGACACGGTACTGTGGCTGACATCCTTGTCTATGTCGGATATGAGGATGAGGAACAAGATGGGAGCGAGTACTGTGCCTTATATCGGTTAGGACTTGGTTTACTTGGTCCCACTTTATGTTTTTGTTATTGAAGTTGAATTTGGTGAATGCTCCCTCGTGACTAATCTCATTATGTCGGTCTGGGGCTCCACGCATACATGTCTGAACCTCAATTATGTTGTGATCTGAGTATATTGTTTTTGATATGGTGACAATTCTTATCAGATCATCATTGTTAGTGAAGATGAGGTCTAGTGTATTCTCCAGTCTAGTAGGCTCTATTATTTGCTGGTTTAAATTGAATTTTGTGCAGAGATTTAAAAGCTCGTGTGAGTGTGAGTTTTCATCAGAGCTGCCTCCTGGTGTTATTACTGCAACAATATTATTTGCTATATTCCTCCATTTTAGGTGACTTAAGTTGAAATCCCCCAGGAGCAAGATGTTGGGTGCAGGAGCTGAAAGATTTTTCCAGACAGTGGTCAATTTTTAACAGCTGTTCCTGGAATTGCTGGGATGTTGCATCCGGAGGCTTGTAGACTACCACAATGAGGCATTAAGCAGTTCTGTGCAAACAAGTGACTCTGCAATGTACAGCCCCCCCCCCCCTTTTGCCTGTTCACTCTGTCACATCTGTATAGGTTGTAACCTGGGATCCATATTTCGTTGTCCAAGTGATCCTTTATGTGGGTCTCAGTGAAAGCCGCGAACATTGACTTTGCCTCTGCAAGCAGTCCACGGATGAAAGGTATTTTGTTGTTTGTTGCTGGCTTTAGACCCTGTATATTTGCAAAGAAGAATGTCATCGGACTGGTGGTATTGTTGGTACTGGGGGGGGGGGGATTTTTTTTCCGGCAATAGTATCTGTATCTGTTGGTTTGGAGTGGAGGCCATCGACTGTGGTTCCACTCCAGGAATGACTGGATTTGGTGTACGATTTCTGCCATTTCCTGCCAGTTTTTTTTTCTTCCTGGCACTAAAAAACCTCTCCCTCTTGAGTGGCTGTGGCTACCCAGGTTTTCCCATGGCCTGGATGTTTTGTATCTTTTTGTCCCCTTTAGATGGTGTGCCTGGCAATTTAAGTTATAGCACAGTCTTTCCTGTACTGAAGAGGTACACATTTCAGGGTGAAAAAGCTTACAGGAAGGGAGTTTGCATTTTCCTGTTGTCATATGGGCGCGGCATTTTCTAGGGTGGTCATAGTTGCACGTCCCGTCTGTTTTTCCAGATTACCCATGTCTGCAGATACCAAGTGCATAGTATGTGCACAGGCTTGGTTTCCGTTTGCCTTGGGTTTCTGTGACTCTATTCCCTGTTGGTGCATGTTTCCCTGTCTTATTCCTATCCTCCCTAGCACTAACAATGGAGCTCCCACCAGTTGTTTTTGGTAATATATCCTCACTATTGCTAGTGGAGTCCTCTTGTTTGCTATTTCCTGTGATATTTCTAGTTTGCAATATTGGTTTTATCTTATCTTTGACTACACTTGTTTGCCCACTACGGCTCCTGTCCCCTATGAGGTCATTTATATGTATTCCTTCCTGCTTATAATTTCCGACTACCTGGACAAAATCTCCAGCTTCACCATTACTGTCTCCCAGGACTGCACCTCCAGCTTCACCATTACTGTCTCCCAGGACAGCACCTCCAGCTTCACCATTACTGTCTCCCAGGACAGCACTATCAGCCCCACATTTACTGACTACCAGGACATCACCTCCAGCCGTACAGTTTCTGACTACATGGCCAGTATCAAGGGCAGTACCATTCAGCCCAGACTTTTTATGTTCCCATCTGTTGTAGAAAGCTTCCAGGTTTTCTATGAAAGCAGCTTTGATGTTATCCTCTTTTAATACCCTTGTGATTTTAGTCCACAGATTTATCTCATTTGGGCATACCCAAAAACACTTCTCTGTTTTAATACTGCTTGTAGCTAGTTCTGGGATATCTGCACAAGGGGCGTGACACCAATTTCCACAAAAATGACAATTTATCCATGTGGAAGCCCGTTTGTTTGATTGACTGCAGACTACACACAGCTTCATAATGATTTGAATGGTTGATTTACTGTAATTCTACTAGCAACCTCTTGAATACTCTATTAATAACCTCCTTAAATGAAGCTCTAGCCTGGTGGCTAAAGCTCCCGCTTCACACATGGAGGGCCCGGGTTCGATTCCCGGCGGGTGGAAACATTTGGACACGTTTCCTTACACCTGTTGTCCTGTTCACCTAGCAGCAAATAGGTACCTGGGCGTTAGTCGACTGGTGTGGGTGGCATCCTGGGGGATAAGATTAAGGACCCCAATGGAAATAAGTTAGACAGTCCTCGATGACGCACTGACTTTCTTGGGTTATCCTGGGTGGCTAACCCTCCGGGGTTAAAAATCCGAACGAAATCTTATCTTATCTTACTTGTATATTGGACAGCTTACCGTGTACGTTCCTGATTTATATTTATTGTTTGTGTTTGATAACCCCATCCGTTTACAGTCTGCTTTATTGTCCAACGAATCCGTTTGTAACCGGTCAAGAGTTCGGACCATCAAGGGTTCGGACCATCAAGGGTTCGGACCATCAAGGGTTCGGACCATCAAGGGTTCGGACCATCAAGGGTTCGGACCATCAAGGGTTCGGACCATCAAGGGTTCGGACCATCAAGGGTTCGGACCATCAAGGGTTCGGACCATCAAGGGTTCGGACCAGTCGATCTTATCTGATCAGTGGGTCACTTATTTAAAACATACTGGTCGGTGATTTGGGCTAACGCATGAAGGATCTACTTGAAATTATCTACCCGAGTAATATGTGATTTGATTGATACAAAAGTATAACTTGCGTGTTGAAGAGCCGGTGATTGCTGGCAGCTCCTACAATGACGAACGGTCGAGCCTCAACCCTTGTTTATCAATCGCATGTTAATTAATATTAGGTATGCCGTGTCTGTGTATACCGCTGTATTATTGTGGTTTTTGTACGTATGTAATACATGTGTTTATGCATTTGTATTTCCTCTGTTTTGCAGGAATGTGGTTATGTATGAAGCGTGTTTCAGAATGTTTATATTTTCAACCATGTTAATTAATGTTATTTTATAGTTTTGGTTATGATGGTGACGGCAGATACAGCTGTTGGGAATAGGGGGGGAGGGGGTTGTAGTGTGTGTTGTATTCTTATAGTAACAATTTGGACAGGGATGTTGCATCCGGGTTGTTATAATGTTTCATTTCTAGGTTTCCATAAACATCTGTTTTAAGAACATAAGAACATAAGAATGGAGGAACACTGCAGAAGGCCTACTGGCCCATACAAGGCAGGTCCTTATCAAAACGACCTTAACCCAAAGCTACCCAAGAATTAGCTCCCATATGCAGTCTGGGTCTCTGTGAAACACATGGTAAGTAAGTAAGTAAGTAAGTAAGCTTATTCAGGTATACACAAATACAGTTACATAGAATTATCATACATAGCAGCATATGTGTAGATTATTATTATTATTATTATAATCAAGGGGGAAGCGCTAAACCCGGAGGATTATACAGCGCCTGGGGGGGGGATGTGGAAGGCATTCAGGCTTAATTTGGGGAACTGGAGCACAGATCCAATTCCCTAAATCAAGAGCCCCTCACCAACATCAAGGAACCTTCCTTGAGGGCAGCATATGTGTAGAGAACCTGGGATAACCCAAAAAAGTCAGAGTGACTTATTTCCATTGTGGTCCTATATACTTCCTTGTGTTGCGATTTAAGTTTTATATTTTGTTTTCATTTATATATTGTTATTATGGGTTCGAACCTCTGTAACGTAACATTATGTATTATATCTTGGATGATTGGTATTTTTGTATACACTGTTTTTAAATAAAAAAAAATGTTACAAGACCCCATTGGAAATAAGTCACTGACTTTTTTTTTTTTTTTGGGGGGGGGAGGGGGAGAGGGGGTATTTTAGTGGGTAATTTACATTGTGATAATTGCACTTATGTGTACCTGTACCTAAATGAACATACACCCCAGAAACAAGAGCCTCAAGCCATCTACGCTAGGTCTACCCCAAAATCAAGGTCTCCAAGGGGCATATACAACACCCCATGATCAAGAACCCCAAGGGGCATCTACAATAGCTCCATCCCGGATCAAGAGCCCCACAGGCATCTAGGGTAGTTCCACCCCAGAATCAAGAGCCCCAGGGTATCTACACAACATGATCAAGAGCCCCGGAGGGTTCTCACCCTCAGGATCAAAAGCCCCAGGGGATCAAGAACAGCTCCATCCTATTAATAAGAGACCTAGGGGCTATCCACCCCATATTCAGAGCTCCAGGGGCATCAGGGACAGCTCCAACTCTAGTATCAAGAGCCCCAGAGGCATCAAGAACAACACACCACGATTAAGAGCCCCAGGGTAGCTCCACTCCATGATCAAGTGCCCAGGGTTATTCCACCACATGATCAAGAGCCCCAGGGGCATCAAGGGTAGCTCCACCCCATATCCAGAGCTCCAGGGGCATCAAGAACAGCTCTACCCCCAGGATCAAGAGCCCCAGTGGCTTCAAGAACAGCTCCACCCCAGGATCAAGAGCCCCAGTGGCCTTAGGAACAGATCCACTCCAGGATCAAGAGCCCCAGTGTCGTCAAGAACAGCTCCACCCCAGGATCAAGAGTCGCAGTGTCGTCAAGAACAGCTCCACCCCAGGATCAAGAGCCCCAGTGTCAAGAATAGCTCCACCCCAGTATCAAGAGCCCCAGTGTCGTCAAGAACAGCTCCACCCCAGGATCAAGAGCCCCAGTGTCGTCAAGAACAGCTCCACCCCAGGATCAAGAGCCCCAGTGTCGTCAAGAGCAGCTCCACTCCAGGATCAAGAGCCCCAATGGCGTCAAGAACAGCTTCACCCCATGATCAAGAGCTCCAGGGGTCTCTCCACCCCTTACAATCAAGAGCCCCAGGGGAGCATCAAGGGGGTGCTATATACTGATGAGTTAAGCAGTGTTTACAAAGAGTGTGGAGGGGCGGGGCAGCAGCGCCCAGGACCCGTGTGAAAAATGTCATATTTCCCCCCTATACCCAGTGCCCCACGTCTTTTCCTCCTCCTGGGCAGTGCCCTGATCATCCTCGGAGCCGCTGATCAAAACCAACTCAAAAAACCGAGCGTTCTAGTGGTACTTTTGGCCAGAAATAAGGAGCATACCCTGCCGTATTTCCTGACATTGTTTGAACGTCTTGAATACCCAAAGAAAAGATTATCATTATTTATTCGCTCTGATCATAATTCTGATAAAACTATAACAATTTTGGATGATTGGTTGAGGCATAATAAGCACAAGTATCATTCCTGTGATGTTAAATTGGATGGTTTAAGTACGAGTTATCCGGGGGACACTAAGGGCACTGAATGGGGCCAAGAAAGATTTAATAATCTTATTAAGATAAAAGAAGAGGCACTGGCACTAGCTAGGCATAAATGGGCAGATTATATATGGTTTTTGGACATGGATGTGTTTTTGACCCGAGGGGATATATTAGAGACGCTTATATATGAGGGTAAGGGTATAGTGGCACCCATGTTAAACTCCCTGGCTACGTATAGTAATTACTGGGGTGATATGACCGAGGATTACTGGTATACCCGCTCCGAGGATTATATCCCCATACTAGAGAGGCGGCAGAAGGGATGTTTCGCCCTTCCGATGGTTCATTCGTGCGTCTTCGTCGACCTGCGGCGAGTCGCTTCCGATAGGTTAACTTTCGCCCCCTTGAATGTCAGTAACTACAATGGCCCCAATGATGACATTATCACCTTCGCCGTATCGGCGAAGAATGCTGGGATTGACATGTATGTGTGCAACTCTGAGGTGTATGGCTTCATCCCTCCGCCGCTGGACGACGACCAACACATCGATGTGGATCTCAAGCAGCTTCTCAGCATTAAGTTAGAAGTCCTAGTCGAACACCCACCGTTACCTGTATCGAAGTTACTCAGCAAATATCTCCCTCCGATGCCTAAGAAAGACAAAGCCGGGTTCGATGAGATATACCTCATCAGCCTACCCCGGAGGCCGGAGCGACGCGAACGCATGAATCTCTGCTTCGACGAATTGGGGCTCGACGTTAAATTATTCGACGCGGTCGATGGGAAGAAATTGAACGAAAGTTACCTTAGAGAACTTGGAGTGAAGCAAATGAACGTATATAAGGATCCGTGGTCGAAACGCGACATGACCTTCGGTGAAATAGGCTGCTTCCTTAGCCATTACTTCATCTGGGAAGATATCGTGAACAATGGCTATAAAAAGGTATCGGTTTGACCCTTGTGGGCTAAGCACTTACTGATAGTTGTAATAATATAACAAGGTACAATTTATACTATGTCTCTGATTATTATTCTTGCCTAAAATGACTACCATAATAAATATCTTTATTTTCAGCATGTACATGTATTTGCATTTTTATTTATTGTATTTTAATTATTATATTTGTATCATAATTGTGTTTTTATATAATGAATTTGTGGTTGTATTTTTATTATAATTGTATGAAAGCTATATCCACCTGAATTATAAATGCAGTCGACCACAATGGAAATAAGTCTGTGTGATTTTTTTTAGGGTTATCCTGGTGGGTAATTTACATATCTTAGTATGTATGATAATTGTACTTATGTATACCTGTGCCTAGGTAAATGTACTTACTAAACACCGTAATTCACACTGCAGTAAATGGATAATAAAGATTTATGTATATACGTATTTTATTTCTTTATTATTATGATTACAGGATAATCACTTCGTTCCCATTTGTAATTACCTGCTGCTCTCTCCTCTCTATTAGTCCATTAACTTGGAATATAATATATATGTAGTTGAGCTATTTACATTAACAGTAGTCTGTCCTAAATATTGTATAATAATAATAATAATAATAATAATAATAATAATAATAATAATAATAATCTCTATTTCTACATGTACATGATACTTTTTATACAGACCATAGCTGACATCAGTAGCATCTTATTATGCAGAGCATTTCAGACAAATTGGGTTAATTTTGTCCCCAGCATGTGACCCCATATCACTTGGCTAACACTCAGGTACCTACTTACTGCCAGGTGAACAGGGACAGCAGGTGTCTTAAGGAAACATGACATTGTGTGAATAAAACTCCTACTTAATATCTCATGTCTGGTTCTTATAGTCGTTAAGCATTAGGATTAGTCTGCCCGAAATGCACCTCATGGTAGTGGCTTTCTTTTGTGCCTAACAATTTTAAATGTAAACTACATTGCCTATAGAGGTGCTCCTCAACTTACGATGTTTTGACTTTATATAATGGTGCAAAGGTAATTACCGTATTTTGCGGCTTATTAGACACATTTTTTTTCTATAAAATGTCTCGAAAAACCAGCCTGCGTCCTATAAACTGAAGGTCAGTGACGGGACCTATAAGTTTGGGGTGTGGGGCGGGCTGTAGCTCTCCCAGTTACGTCCGAATCTGAGCCATTGGAACTAAAACAAGTCTTATAAGCCGCGAAATACGGTACTTTGGAGATGAAACTTAAGATAATTACCACCATGAAGGTGGCCTGTAATTTGTATACATTTCTTTTTTGCTGTTCAATACTGGTATTTAGTAGGGGATGTGTAGATCAAGTGTTTACATTGAAGCATATATGTGAACAGTATTTAGATAAAGGTAGGGAAGTTTTTATTGCATTTATGGATTTAGAAAAGGCATATGATAGAGTGGATAGAGGAGCAATGTGGCAGATGTTGCAAGTATATGGAATAGGTGGTAAGTTATTAAATGCTGTAAAGAGTTTTTATGAGGATAGTGAAGCTCAGGTTAGGGTGTGTAGAAGAGAGGGAGACTATTTCCCGGTAAAAGTAGGTCTTAGACAGGGATGTGTAATGTCACCATGGTTGTTTAATATATTTATAGATGGGGTTGTAAAGGAAGTAAATGCTAGGGTGTTCGGGAGAGGGGTGGGATTAAATTTTGGGGAATCAAATTCAAAAAGGGAATTGACACAGTTACTTTTTGCTGATGATACTGTGCTTATGGGAGATTCTAAAGAAAAATTGCAAAGGTTAGTGGATGAGTTTGGGAATGTGTGTAAAGGTAGAAAGCTGAAAGTGAACATAGAAAAGAGTAAGGTGATGAGGGTATCAAATGATTTAGATAAAGAAAAATTGGATATCAAATTGGGGAGGAGGAGTATGGAAGAAGTGAATGTTTTCAGATACTTGGGAGTTGACGTGTCGGCGGATGGATTTATGAAGGATGAGGTTAATCATAGAATTGATGAGGGAAAAAAGGTGAGTGGTGCGTTGAGGTATATGTGGAGTCAAAAAACGTTATCTATGGAGGCAAAGAAGGGAATGTATGAAAGTATAGTAGTGCCAACACTTTTATATGGGTGTGAAGCTTGGGTGGTAAATGCAGCAGCGAGGAGACGTTTGGAGGCAGTGGAGATGTCCTGTTTAAGGGCAATGTGTGGTGTAAATATTATGCAGAAAATTCGGAGTTTGGAAATTAGGAGAAGGTGTGGAGTTAATAAAAGTATTAGTCAGAGGGCAGAAGAGGGGTTGTTGAGGTGGTTTGGTCATTTAGAGAGAATGGATCAAAGTAGAATGACATGGAAAGCATATAAATCTATAGGGGAAGGAAGGCAGGGTAGGGGTCGTCCTCGAAAGGGTTGGAGAGAGGGGGTAAAGGAGGTTTTGTGGGCGAGGGGCTTGGACTTCCAGCAAGCGTGCGTGAGCGTGTTAGATAGGAGTGAATGGAGACGAATGGTACTTGGCACCTGACGATCTGTTGGAGTGTGAGCAGGGTAATATTTAGTGAAGGGATTCAGGGAAACTGGTTATTTTCATATAGTCGGACTTGAGTCCTGGAAATGGGAAGTACAATGCCTGCACTTTAAAGGAGGGGTTTGGGATATTGGCAGTTTGGAGGGATATGTTGTGTATCTTTATATGTGTATGCTTCTAGACTGTTGTATTCTGAGCACCTCTGCAAAAACAGTGATAATGTGCGAGTGTGGTGAAAGTGTTGAATGATGATGAAAGTATTTTCTTTTTGGGGATTTTCTTTCTTTTTTGGGTCACCCTGCCTCGGTGGGAGACGGCCGACTTGTTGAAAAAAAAAAAATTATTTACTTATTCAGTGACCATAGTTACTTTATTTACAGCAAGTTCTGAACTTAGGAACACATTGGGGACCTCCTGAATTGTGTATAATATTCATAATGCAGAAGTCTTCAACTTACGAATATGTTGAGGACTTTCTGTATTACCTGGAGTTTACCTGAAGAGAGTTCCAGGGTTCAACACCCCCACGGCCCAACCTGTGTATTGTGTATAGTAATGATATAATACACTGTAATAACGTAATGATGACATTATACATGATACAGAAGATTCTCAACATGTTTGTAAGTCAAGGACTTACCGTACTTGTTTATTTAGCATATATTCGTATTAAGTTAACATATTTTTGACTTACGATGGGTTCGTCAAAATGTAACTCCATTGTAAGTCAAGGACCACCTGTTTATTACAGGAAAGAAATAAAAAATTTGTATTTGTACTTATAATGTACCTTACTCATTCTTTACAGGTGTTATTGTTCGAGGATGACATTCGTTTTGAGCCTTATTTTAGAGAAAAGGTTAAGCACATGATTCGCCAGGCTGATAGATTACTTAAATGGGACCTTATTTATCTTGGTCGTAAGAAATTGAAAAACTCGGATGAACCATGGGTAAGTTATCTAATAGAATTGCCTTGTTACCAGCAGTAACGTAAATAATAATACATGTAGTACTACTGTAGAAATTTGTTATGAAGGAACAGTGCACAGTAATAGGTACAGACACTATATAAGTTGTAACATGTACAATGTACAGTGGACCCCCGGTTAATGATATTTTTTCATTCCAGAAGTATGTTCAGGTGCCAGTACTGACCAAATTTGTTCCCATAAGGAATATTGTGAAGTAGATTAGTCCATTTCAAACCCCCAAACATACACGTACAAACGCACTTACATAAATACACTTACATAATTGGTCGCATTGGGAGGTGATCGTTAAGCGGGGCTCCACTGTACTTGTAGAAATAAAGATTATTATTATTGTTTTTATTATTATTTTGGAAATTGTTCACGGTGTCCCATGGCCTGATGGCTAAAGTTCATGCTGCACACGGCGATAAATTCACTATAAATAAAATCATGATAAGTAACACATTTGTGCAACACTTGGGTATCTTTCCAGAATAAAGATACCCGAGTGTTGCACAAGTGTCTTATTTATCAACTTGTCGGTTTTCTAAACCATTTATTCATGTCCCCACTCAGCCTTCAGAGTACAGTACATATTGTGTACACATATTTGTACACACATTTATGAAGGGATTCAGGGAAATCAGTTAGCTGGACTTGAGTCTTGGAGGTGGGAAGTACAGTGCCTGCAGTCCGAAGGAGGGGTGGAGTTATGTTGCAGTATTTGAACTGTAGTATTGACATGCCGCTTGCTAGTGATGGAGTGAGTAATGAAAGTGTTTCTTCTACTTCAGGTCACTCTGCCTCAGTGGGAAATGGCCGATGTGTTAATAAAAAAAATAGACATTTAAGATTAAATTAAATGTATGTAGGTACATAGACATTCTATACAACTGTAGCTTCATCTATTATTATTATTGTTACAGCTACACCTACCATCCGACTTACGACCACTCGACTTACGACCACTCGACTTACGACCACTCGACTTACGACCACTCGACTTACGACCACTCGACTTACGACCACTTGACTTACGACCACTCGACTTACGACCACTCGACTTACGACCACTCGACTTACGACCACTCGACTTACGACCACTCGACTTACGACCACTCGACTTACGACCATGTTTTTTATGCCAAATTTCTGGGAAATAAACAACTTGTGTTGTACACAGTATTTATCCTAAACCTTACAGTATAAAATACAATACTAACAGCATAAAAACTAAAGGAAAAAATAAAATACCAAAATAAAACAATAAAAGAAAATCATTACAAAAGCGTGATGTTGATATTCAGTAGTAAGGTTCGACTTACGTCCATTTTGACTTACAACCGGTTGGCCGGAACCAAGCTTGGTCGTAAGTCGGATGGTACCTATTACCATACCTCTTCAACCCTTTATCTATGGGAATATTTTGAAAAATAATTTTTTTTTAAAGTTAGATAGTTTGTCTTTCTGAATCGAATAAGACTAAAATGATTAAAATCTGATAAAAACTTGTGATTCTGTGGTGCATTGAATTTGGTGAGAAAATGATCACAAATTGGCACCATCAGTGAGTACTAGTACATCGGACACAGTTAAAGATTTAAATTAATAAAATTCTTAGACATCAGATTTTGACGTTAAAACTAACATACCTTATTAATCATACAGATTAAGAATTATTATCTAGGATACTAAACGCTAGATGCAGTTTGTTAGAATTAAGATCTTGATTTTGTCTAGTCTTTAGTGTGTAAGTACACCTACCATCTGACTTACGACCGAGTTCGGCTCCGAGAAACCGGTCGTAAGTCGAAATGGTCGTAAGTCGAACTTTACTACTGAATATCAACATAACATTTTTGTAAAGACTTTATTTTATTGTTTTATTTTGGTATTTCATGTTTTACTTTACTTTTTATGCTGTTAGTACTGTATTTTATACTGTAAGGTTTAGGATAAACACTGTGTGCAACACAAATACTTGTTTATTTCCCAGAAATTTGGCATAAAAAACACGGTCGTAAGTCGAGTCGTCGTAAGTCGAGTAGGTCGTAAGTCGGATGGTAGGTGTATTAGCATTGGTCTGGCTTTCTTTGTACTTAACCATATTTTATTCCATGTAAACTACATTTTGCATACTACACAAACAAATAAATTTTGATTGTTTAGGTCGAAGACTCGGACACGCTTGTACACGTAGACTACTCCTATTGGACACTCTGCTATGCCATCACCCTCGAAGGTGCCAAGAAGCTACTTGATGGTCAGCCTCTTGGTCAGCTAGTTCCTGTTGATGAATACCTGCCAATCATGTTCAACAAACATCCTGAGGTGAGTGGAAAAACCAGCTAGTGGATGAACACCCACATAATGTAGCATAGCTTTTATGAGAATGTTTTACTCCAGGGAAGCTTTAATAAGGTATATGCTGTGCAAGGATAATGTAATTTACATAAAATGAGCATTTTCAGGCATAAAATAAAGCCATTACAGTGGAACTTCAGTTTTCGTGAATAATTCGTTCCAGAAAGTCTGACGAAAACCAAATTGTACGAAAACTGAAGCAATATTTCCCAAAAGAAATAATGTAATTCCAATTAATCCGTTTCAGACATCCAAAAATATTAAAAAAAAATGCATTTTATAGAGAATGACTATAGTTTTACATACAGAAAACAATGAGAAATAAATATAAATGGCTAATGAGATGGATAAATGAACATTTAACATCACTTTTACTTTTATTGAAGACTCTTGTTGGCGTATGGAAGATAGCGAGGAGGGGAGAGGGAGGAGGAGAGGTTATTGTTTGGAAAGGGAATCCCCCTCCATAAGGACTTAAGGTACTAGGACCAGCTTGAGAGTCACTGCACCTTTGTCGCACAAAAAATCTGTCCAGAGAGGACTACACTGCTGCCTCTGTATTTGACTGAAGAAGTCTACTGTGTTGGTGAAACGTTTCAACAATAAAGATACCCAACTGTTGCACATGTGTCTTAATGATCACAGACAAAACAATCCTTTAATAAAAACAATGTTTCTCTCAATGACAGTTGTAATTGCTGGAGCTTTCACTGCGACCACAATGTTTTTAATACAGGCTAGTCACACACTGTGACTGTGTAATGTTCCAAGTTGGACTGCAACACTTAAGTTTCTCTCTCCTGTGTGTAGGTTATTTGTGTATTGTTCCAGTCATGGTATACCTGGAATATACCTGGAGAGGGTTTCGGGGGTCAATGCCCCCGCTGCCCAGTCTGTGACCAGGCCTCACGGTGGATTAGGACCTGATCAACCAAGCTGGTATTGGGTCTTTTTGTTTTTTATTCAATGCATTTTGGGCAGACTAATCAATTGGAGCAAGCATTTCTCATTCGTTGGATCAAACCTGACTGTTTTGTGTTCCCAGGCACCGTATGACCCCTGCAGGTTTAGCACTTACCTGGAGTTTACCTGGAGAGAGTTCGGGGGTCAACGCCCCCGCGGCCCGGTCTGTGACCAGGCCTCCTACCAAATGATTTTGTTTTGGGACACATTGGCAGCATCTTGTTAGGTTTGCCTTGTTTGGCCTTTGCATCTTCCTCCTCATCTTTTTCCCCTTTCTTCTTTTTCTTTTTCCTCTTACTAGTGCTTTCACCTGAGTATTTAACAGAGTCATCAGTATGTATGCTGGTAGACAACAAATATCTTGGTAAGCTAAGTCGAAATACACTTTTCAGCGATATAAAGGGACAAAATAGGGACGACCCCATATTTTATCCACAGTGCGGCTTACAAGCCATTTTATCAGTACAGGCAGGCCCCACCTTACAGCGCTTCACTTTATGGAGTTTCACTAATACAGTGGACCCCCGGTTAACGATATTTTTTCATTCCAGAAGTATGTTCAGGTGCCAGTACTGACCGAATTTTTTCCCATAAGGAATATTGTGAAGTAGATTAGTCCATTTCAGACCCCCAAACATACACGTACAAACGCACTTACATAAATACACTTACATAATTGGTCGCATTCGGAGGTGATCGTTATGCGGGGGGTCCACTGTACAGCAGTTTGCAATTATACCCAGTCTTCATTTATTCAGTCTTCCTACAATAAATATATTCACCACTCACTACAAAATAAGGGCAAAAATATTTTAAAATAATGCGTGTGCTGTAGTATATGCATTTTTTAGGCCTAGCTCTATTGCTCACTTAATATATGATAGTGTAAATATGTTATCAGACTTTTATATGCATTTCAAAGTGGAAAATGGTTTCATTTTACAGTGATATTTGCTTTACTATAGTAGCCTAGAACCTAACCTGCTGTATAAGCGTGGCTCTTCTGTATGTTATTTTTTTTTTCCAACAAGTCGGCAGTCTCCCACCGAGCAGGGTGACCCAAAAAAGAAGAAAATCCCCAAAAAGAAAATGCTTTCATCATCATTCAACACTTTCACCAAACTCACACATTATCACTGTTTTTGCAGAGGTGCTCAGAATACAACAGTTTAGAAGCATATACGTATAAAGATACACAACATATCCCTCCAAACTGCCAATATCCCAAACCCCTCCTTTAAAGTGCAGGCATTGTACTGTATGTTGTTATAGATGATATTATTACTTACAGACTGAGTGGATGGAGATGTTTCCAGTGCGGAATTTGAATGCTTTCTCAGTGGCTCCTCTATATGTGTACCCAACACACTACACTGGTGAACTAGGCTACATTAGTGACACCGAAGAATCGCCCATTATTCAGGAAACAGATGAGACTGCGGCTGCAATGGAATCTAATCTGGAAGGTAAAGGCCTTGAACTAGAGGTGGGATTTAATGGCCTAGTGAAGGATGAGTTTTGAGTAAAATGCCTTCCTAGAAGTATATATGCAAATGAATGTAGCTTGTAGGATTTACATTATACTGCACTAAGTTACCCCAGTTACTGCCATATTGTGTATCTCAGTTATCTCAATGTTTTGGAGCAGTTTGAGACATTTTCTGACGTACAGTATTTGAAATTTTAGTTTTAGTCTGCATAAATAGCAAAATTTATGTCGTTTTATGTGGTAACACGTAAGTTATGTTAATTTTAAATCAGACTTCCATAATTTTGAATTATCAGTTTTTTTTTTTTAATTTCTTAGTCTAATTTCTCCAGTTTTTAAGCAAATTTCTTGTTTGTAATTTTTTAATTTATGAATGCCATACTGCATTGTAAGATATAAAACTTGAAGAGCATATATTAAAAAATATATATACAGTGGACCCCCGCCTTGCGATATTATTTCATCCCAGAAGTATGTTCAGGTGCCATTACTGAACGAATTTGTTCCCATAAGGAATACTGTGAATTAGATTAGTCCATTTCAGACCCCCAAACATACACATACAAACGCACTTACATAAATACACTTACATAATTGGTCGCATTGGGAAGTGATCATAAAGCGGGGGTCCACTGTATTAGAAATTAAAATGCACATACACTAGTGTACACGCCAGCTTTGCAATTAATACAAGCAATCCCATCGCATGCAATGGCTTTCCCTGTTTTAGCTTTCACTATACTTAACCATGTATATTGAGCTTGCTAATGTAACCTTCACCCTATTCTAATATGGTAAAACTTGTTAATACAATGGTAGAATATATTGACAGCATGTAAACGACATGGTACTATATAAATAAGACAGTATGTAAACAAGACACAGTATGTGGTTTATGGCATCTTATAAAAACATTTCTTCCACCTTATTCAATTCAAAAACCGATAAAGTCCATGGTGGTTGAAACATCTTCGTAAATAAATTTCCATAACCATCATATTGTGTCTTACTTATATTCATGGTAAAACTCATTAAATCGAACTTTCAAATCAATTGCGTCAGATATGGGACCACTCTTAGTTTAGCAGACTAGTCATTAATAATAAATTAAACTTAAAAAAGACATTGAATGCTCTCTCAGATCTCAGGATCCAACCAGATAAAATACATAAATCGTACATGCCAAAGAAAATAAATATTTTGTCTGGGCTACCAAAACTGCAAATATATTTGTTGATGAAAAAGACACATGTGCGACACTTGGGTATCTTTATTGATGAGATGTTGCACCAACACAACACTTGACTATCTTTATTGATGATGATGCACCAGCCTCTTCACTTGTATACAGGTAAATAATATAATATAGTGGTACCTCGAGTTACGAACTTAATTCGTTCCAAAAGGCTGTTCGAGTGCCGATACCGAACAATTTGTTCCCATAAGGAATAATGTAAATTAGATTAATCTGTTTCAGACCCCCAAAAATACACTTACAAAAGCACTTACAAAAATACACTTACATAATTGTTTGAATTGGGAGCTGTTCGAAACTCAAGGTACCACTGTACTGGGATAGTAATAGTAGTTTTGAGGTAATCAGTTTCTTAAACTGTGAGGGACTGACCCTCCTACCAAGGCTGAAGGACTGATTACCTCAAACCTACTTAAAATATGATTTTTATTTCTTTATGCAGTACAAAATATTGTAGTTTACGTGTAATAAAACACAATTAGGCACTGAAGAAAGCCACTGATATGCATTGTATTTTGGGCAGACTAATCTTAATGCGTATATTTTACTTCTGTGTCCTGTGTTATATTCTCCTGTATTCAGTTGAGGACGGCTTCTGTTTATGCTAAATGATTTTTGCCACAAAGATAACTGAGTGCTTCACGTGTGTTTTATTTGGCAACTTGTTGGTATTGTATACTATTGATAATATAATACAATAGAACCCCTGTATCCGCGGATTTGGTTACCACAGTTTTGGGCATCCGTGGTAGTTCTTGGAACGTATCACTTACGGAAAAGTGGGGGGACTACTCAGTAGTCCCCCTTATCCACTGGTGATACATTCCAAGACCTACCATGGGTGCCCAAAGCTGCAGTAGCCAAATCCACGGATACAGGGGGTCTACTGTATAACTAAATTTCAGTTTCTCCTCATCTATAGGTCAATTCTAGCCAGTAAAATCCATGATACCCAACCAGCGAGCCTACACAGATGACTGCCTTAACTCCTTACTTAGCTTTAAGTATCCCTTCTTAGGTAAACTATATCAAATACTTATAGTTCAGTTGTTAATAAAGTGGGGAGTTAAGTTAAAATATCCTCAGTCATATTCATGACTAAGTTAACTCTACAATCTTCTAATAATGATGGAATTTGGGATATTATGTTTCTTCATTATTTTTAGCCAAATACATTATATGCAATGGGTTCATACTTTTTTTTAATTTAAATTGGTCAAGGAGTGTAAATTTTTTTTGAACAACTATACCAGTTTTTTTTTTTTGGCTTTCTGTTACCTGTTTTTCATGGCTCAGGAGCTTCCTCAGCTCACTAAGTGACTGGGGTTTAATCCTCGGCTCGGGTAGAAATGGTCATGTTTCCTTACACTTGATGCCCCTGTCACCTAGCAATAAGTAGGTATCTGGGTGTTAGAGAATAAAAAAATACCAATAGAAATAATATTGACAGTCCTCATTAGCATCCTGACTTATTGAGTTATCCTGGGTTACTAACCCTTAGGGTTAATCATTCCAGCAAAATCTATCTGTTATAAAGACTAGTGTTCGACTTTTGTCAAAGACTTGCTTAGCTGATTTCTCACTTGCACATTTTTCTGAGACACACTCTTAGGATGTTGGTACTATGAAGTCAAGAGTCACATTTATGTACGTAAATGCAACCAATCTTCTTATTTTAGCCATGAGTCTAAAGCATAACTTGGAGCACTTGCTCTCAATCAAAACACATTAACTTGTAGCTGAGAATATATCTTCTTTCTTTCTTTCTTTCAACAAACCAGCCATATCCCACTGAGGCAGGGTGACCGAAAAAGAAAAACAAAAGTTTATCTTTTTAACTTTAGTAACGTATACGAGAGAAGGGGTTACTAGCCCCTTGCTCCTGGCATTTTAGTCGCCTTTTACAACACGCATGGCTTACCGAGGAAGAATTCTGTTCCACCTCCCCTGGAGATAAGAAGAAATAAACAAGAATAAGAATAAGAACTAGTAAGAAAATATAAGAAAACCCAGAGGGGTGTGTATATATATGCTTGTACATGTATGTGTAGTAAGAACATAAGAAAGGAGGATCACTGCAGCAGGCCTGTTGGCCCATACTAGGCAGGTCCTTTACAATCCATCCCACTAACAAAACATTTGCCCTACCTAATTTTCAATGCTACCCAAGAAATAAGCTCTGATAACTCTATCCACTCATTTGCAAGTCCCACTCAAATCCAACCCCTCTCACTCGTATATTTATCCAACCCAAATTTGAAACTACCCAAAGTCCTAGCCTCAATAACCCAATTAGGTAGACTGTTCCACTCATCAACTACCCTATTTCCAAACCAATACTTTCCTATGTCCTTTCTAAATCTAAACTTGTCTAATTTAAATCCATTACTGCGGGTTCTCTCTTGGAGAGATATCCTCAAGACCTTATTAATATCCCCTTTATTAATACCTATCTTCCACTTACACACTTCGATCAGGTCTCCCCTCATTCTTCGTCTAACAAGTGAATGTAATTTAAGAGTCTTCAGTCTTTCTTCATAAGTAAGATTTCTAGTGCTATGTATTAATTTAGTCATCCTACGCTGAATGTTTTCTAACGAATTTATGTCCATTCTGTAATATGGAGACCAGAATTGAGCTGCATAATCTAGGTGAGGCCTTACTAATGATGTATAAAGCTGCAGTATGACCTCTGGACTTATGTTGCTTACATTTCTTGATATAAATCCCAGTAATCTATTTGCCTTATTACGTACGCTAAGTGTAAGTAGAAGTAGCAAGACATGCTAGAAATCTTGCATGTTTGTGAGACAGAAAAAAGACACCAGCAATCCTACCATCATTTAAAACAATTACAGATTTCCGTTTTGCACTCACTTGGCAGAACGGTAGTGTACCTCCCTGGGAGGTTGTTGTTTACCACCCTACTACCTACACTGAGAATGTATGTGAACCATTAATTTATAACTCAGAATATGTTAGCTGTCTAGAGGTCAGTCTTCTATATTATATACTGAAGAGTATTTTTGCCTCTTAAATACAAGAGGGAATCTTAGATAGGTATTTAACCCTAGAGGGGTATACTTCTAGATATAGTCTTCATTGGTTATACCTGGATATACTGTACCTAGTGAGGATAAACAATGAACCAATCATTCTAGTGAAAATTTATATTGATATTAAGAGATTTGATCTCCATGTGGAAGTGGAACAGAATTCTTCCTCCGTAAGCCATGTGTATCATAAGAGGCAACTAAAATGCCAGGAGCAAGCGGCTAGTAACCCCTTTCCCTGTATACATTACTCAAGTTAAAAAGAAGAACTTTCATTTTTCTTTTTGGGTCATCCTGCTTGGGTGGGATGTGACTGGTTTGTTGAAAGAAGAAAGAAGATTAAGGGATTTGAGTCCTGGATGTGGGAAGTAAGGTGCCTGCACTCTGAAGGAGGGGTGAGGATGTCAGCATGCTTCTGGTAAGACAGTGAACGAATGAATGATGCTGAAAGCATTATTTCTCTGTTAGGTAAGACACATTTTATATTTTATACCATTTTAATGTTCATTATTTCTCTTTTGGGTCACCCTACCTTTGTGGGAGACAGTCATGTTAAAAAAAATTAAGGAACATATAAAGTAACAATCATTGAAGTGAATAAGAAGTTAATCATGATTCTATTTCACCATCCACACCCAAAAATGCTCACTAGGGTTAAAAACCATGTAAACTATCAGCATTGCCCATTCTTTCTAGTCCATCTCTTGGGCCGCCACACATCATCCAGTTGTACAGCATCAAACTCTTTTAGACAGAGGGAAGAATAGACACAAATGCAGTATAATATGATTCTTTATTGACTATATTTCACCCACACAGTGGGCTCTTTGTGACTTGATCTCTTTGTGACTTATCAAGTCACAAAGAGATCTGTTTTTGACTTGATAAAGACCACTGTGTGGGTAAAATGTTGTCAATAAAGGATTGCATTATACTGTACGTATTTGTGTGTTTTTCCATCATGTCAGTATTTTATACCATTTATCTCTTTTAAATAGATTAAATTGGTATTTTAAGGTAAGTTAGGGGTAACTTAATAAAATTTTTAGAATAAAAAATTAGTGTGTCAACAATCACTGGAACTGTGAACTGGTCACAGTTTCAGTGAGGTCACATTTAACAAGTTTTACTATATACAGTAATTTTTTTAAAAAATTGGCACCTGAGATTCCAGAGCATTTTCAAAGATTACCAAATGAGTGTACAAATTCACGTTAGCAAAACCGACCTTTAGATTAGGTCTATTTGTCATGTTGCAATCTCAAAATGCTCAGGCCACTGACCCTTCAGTAGTGATTGGATCTTGATCCAATAAATTGGGGCTACCTTCAACTTCATCTGATCAAATCTATTCACCTAGTACTAAGTAGGTACCTGGTCATTAGTCACATTACACCTGCTGTCAGTGTTCAACTAGCAGTAAGTAGGAACCTGGGTATTAGTTGACTATTGTGGGAGGAATCCTGGGGAACAAAATTGAAGGACCACAATGGAAATAAGACAGACAGTCCTTGATGACACACTGACTTTCTTAGGTTATCCATCAGCCCCCTCCAACCCCTCCAAAGAATAATAATAATAAATAATAATAATTCTTTCAAGATTACTAAATGTAAAAAGAAGACAAACTTTTCGTTTCTTCTTTTTCGGGTCATTCTGTCTTGGTGTGAGACAGCCGGTCTGTTAAAAAAAAAATTATACGGGTCAAGTCCCCTAGCCTCCTCTTTCAACTAGATGACTCCTATATAGAACTTCTGGAAACACCCCGGAGTATACTGGAGAAAAAGATGCTGTAACGTTAATTTAGTGTCGATAGTGCCCTCTCGAGATACGAGAGCGGCCACAGTTGCGAAGCAACTAGTTTTTTAAGAGTCTACTGTATGGGTATGATGATGATACTACTACTACTACTGCTGCTGCTGCCGCCGCCGCCGCCGCCGAGCATTACCACTACCATTACTGTACTTGTATTTCTTCCTTTATTTGTCCCATCCCTGTCCCCCCTCGGCTATATATACTGGCTTCCTGACTCTTGTGTGTTAGTGTGACTGTAAATGGTCCAAGATGGACTGAAACATTCTCATAAGCTCTCTCCTGTGTGCTAGTTATTTGTGCATGATACAATATATAGAATAAGCTTTTATTGCATCAACATTACTCTCAGGTTAAAGCTTAATTATAGCTTGATCAAGCTCTATGCAGAGGGTAATAGAGACCATTAGAAGCTTGTTTTTGTGCCCACGCCTGTCAGTGTTACACCTCTACATCCTTACTGTACTGCATTCATGTTTCTCACTCTGAAAATAATAGGCAGGTGCTTTTAAATGCTTCAGCAAATGATTCAAAACTTAACATTAGAAATTAAACTAGAAATGTTAATAGACAGGTTAATAGGCAGGTGCTTTTAAATGCTTCAGCAAATGATTCAAAACTTAACATTAGAAATTAAACTAGAAATGTTAATAGACATATAATGCCAAGATGTTTTTGAAGACTGTTTATACTAACTTGGTGTAAATGCTAGAAAATAATTAAGTATGATGTATGCTGTGGCAGATTAAGTATAGATGAGGCTTTGTGGCATCACATATAAATGCAATAATGTATATTTTTAATTTAAGACATAATAGAATTATATTTTATTTGAAAATACAAATACAGTAATGCATTTCCGTTGTTCCGCTACAGCTATTTTTGTATACAAGATGGAATTATGGGGATCTTGATGCATACAGCAATTGCTCCCTTTGCCCTTAGGTTAATCTGCCACAGTGGTTAAGTATTTGGCAGGTGTAGGCATGGACATCCAGTAGGAATGAAGCATAAAGGAAAGGGGACACTTGGCCACCTTGGATGAGAAAGGGGACACTTGGCCACCTTGGATGAGAAAGGGGACACTTGGCCACCTTGGATGAGAAAGGGGACACTTGGCCACCTTGGATAAGATAAAGATATTTTACTTTAGCATGACACATTATTATAATAATCATGGGGGAGCGCTAAACTCATAGGATTATACAGCGCCTGTTGGGGGGGGGGGAGATATAAGGTATTCAGGCTCAATTCAGGGAACTGTAATGCAGATCCAATTCCCTAGATCAAGAGCCCCTCACCAGCATCAAGGAACATCCCTTGAGGGGTCAGCATGATACAGTGTTTGTACAAAAGTGAGTGACACTGAGGTGTGCATGCAGAAGCCCCTTAATATGCAGAGCATTACGAGCAAACTTAAGCCTAACTTAAGATTAATAACTCGCTGACCAATAGTTTTATATATACAATCTCTTAGGTGATTGCAAATATAAATTTTGGAGTTACAATAGATCAAGCCTGTGTCAAGATAAAACTGCCATATTGATGTGTTACATTTCCCATTATTTTTTCTGGGAAAGTTCCAGTGGATGTCCTTGGTTGTGTACTGTACAGTCACCTCTCTTAAAAACATCCGCTATATAGTGAATTTCTTTAAATGCAATTGAAAAAGTTCTTTCAAAATTAAATGGCATGTAGAAGGATTTCCATATTGTGAATTATTCACTGAGATGCACTATATCAGTTGCATTCATACAAAAAATCCCACTGTATCAATGCACCTTTTCAGTTGCATTTCCAAAAATCCCACTGTATTGATGTACTTTCCAGTGGCATTTACAAAAAAATCCATTGTACAGAAGAGCTCCTTATAATAGAGCTGACTGTACTTAGAACTACAGCAATTCATTACCATTGTATTCTGGTAATAACTGAAAATAATCTATTCATAGCTTTTTGAGAAATGCATTTATTTGAGTTATTTCAGTTACTGTTACGTAGTTGTAAGTTGAATAGTTAAGTATACTGTAGGATATTGTAGTTTCCAAAAAATGTATTTTTCTAGTTATTCATGATGCGTTACATGTTTGTTGAAATATGTAGTTAAAATACATATTGTGTGTTGTTTACATGACCTAATATTTTTGATAGCTATTGAGGTACAAATATACTTCATATATGAATTTCTTTGTTGTTAAGTGATAAGACTGTACTGTATGGTACTGTATGGTACTGTATGGTACTGTATGGTACTGTATGGTACTGTACTGTACTGTATGGTACTGTACTGTACAGTACTGTATGGTACTGTACAGTACTGTATGGTACTGTACTGTACTGTATGGTACTGTACTGTACTGTACTGTATGGTACTGTACTGTATGGTACTGTATGGTACTGTACTGTACAGTACTGTATGGTACTGTATGGTACTGTACTGTACTGTATGGTACTGTACTGTACTGTATGGTACTGTATGGTACTGTACTGTACTGTATGGTACTGTACTGTATGGTACTGTACTGTATGGTACTGTACTGTACTGTATGGTACTGTACTGTACAGTACTGTATGGTACTGTATGGTACTGTACTGTACTGTATGGTACTGTACTGTACTGTCCTGTATGGTACTGTACTGTACAGTACTGTATGGTACTGTATGGTACTGTACTGTACAGTACTGTATGGTACTGTATGGTACTGTACTGTACTGTATGGTACTGTACTGTACTGTATGGTACTGTACTGTATGGTACTGTACTGTATGGTACTGTATGGTACTGTACTGTACTGTATGGTACTGTATGGTACTGTACTGTACTGTATGGTACTGTACTGTATGGTACTGTACTGTATGGTACTGTACTGTACAGTACTGTATGGTACTGTACTGTACTGTATGGTACTGTACTGTACTGTATGGTACTGTATGGTACTGTACTGTACTGTATGGTACTGTATGGTACTGTACTGTACTGTATTGTATGGTACTGTACTGTACAGTACTGTATGGTACTGTACTGTACTGTATGGTACTGTACTGTACTGTACTGTACTGTATGGTACAGTACTGTACAGTACTGTACAGTACTGTACTGTACAGTACTGTACTGTACAGTACTGTACAGTACTGTACTGTACTGTACTGTACTGTACAGTACCATACAGTACTGTACAGTACTGTATGGTACAGTACTGTACAGTACTGTACAGTACAGTACTGTACAGTACTGTACTGTACTGTACTGTACTGTACTGTACAGTACCATACAGTACAGTACAGTACAGTACAGTACAGTACAGTACAGTACCATACAGTACAGTACAGTACAGTACCATACAGTACCATACAGTACCATACAGTACAGTACAGTACAGTACAGTACCATACAGTACCATACAGTACAGTACAGTACAGTACCATACAGTACCATACAGTACAGTACAGTACAGTACAGTACCATACAGTACCATACAGTACCATACAGTACCGTACAGTACAGTACAGTACAGTACAGTACAGTACAGTACAGTACAGTACCATACAGTACCATACAGTACAGTACAGTACAGTACCATACAGTACCATACAGTACCATACAGTACCATACAGTACCATACAGTACAGTACAGTACAGTACCATACAGTACAGTACTGTACAGTACAGTACTGTACAATACAGTACTGTACAGTACAGTACTGTACAGTACTGTACCATACAGTACAGTACTGTACAGTACAGTACTGTACAGTACTGTACTGTACTGTATGGTACAGTACTGTACAGTACTGTACAGTACAGTACAGTACTGTACTGTACTGTATGGTACAGTACTGTACAGTACAGTACAGTACTGTACAGTACTGTACCGTACAGTACAGTACAGTACTGTACAGTACTGTACCATACAGTACTGTACAGTACAGTACAGTACTGTACAGTACTGTACAGTACAGTACAGTACTGTACAGTACAGTACTGTATGGTACAGTACTGTACAGTACTGTACTGTATGGTACAGTACTGTACTGTACTGTATGGTACAGTACTGTACATAAGAACATAAGAAAGGAGGAACACTGCAGCAGGCCTGTTGGCCCATACTAGGCAGGTCCTTTACAATTCATCCCACTAACAAACATAAGAACATAAGAACATAAGAAAGGAGGAACACTGCAGCAGGCCTGTTGGCCCATACTAGGCAGGTCCTTTACAATTCATCCCACTAACAAACATTTGACCAACCCAATTTTCAGAGCTTATTTCTTGGGTAGCATTGAAAATTGGGTTGGTCAAATGTTTGTTAGTGGGATGAATTGTAAAGGACCTGCCTAGTATGGGCCAACAGGCCTGCTGCAGTGTTCCTCCTTTCTTATGTTCTTATGTTTGTTAGTGGGATGAATTGTAAAGGACCTGCCTAGTATGGGCCAACAGGCCTGCTGCAGTGTTCCTCCTTTCTTATGTTCTTATGTACAGTACTGTACCATACAGTACAGTACAGTACTGTACCATACAGTACAGTACTGTACAGTACTGTACCATACAGTACAGTACTGTACAGTACTGTACAGTACAGTACTGTACTGTACTGTATGGTACAGTACAGTACTGTACAGTACAGTACTGTACAGTACTGTACCATACAGTACTGTACAGTACTGTACAGTACTGTACTGTACAGTACTGTACTGTACAGTACTGTACCATACAGTACTGTACAGTACTGTACCATACAGTACTGTACAGTACTGTACAGTACTGTACTGTACAGTACAGTACTGTACAGTACTGTACCATACAGTACTGTACAGTACAGTACAGTACTGTACAGTACAGTACAGTACAGTACAGTACAGTACAGTACAGTACAGTACTGTACAGTACTGTACAGTACAGTACAGTACTGTACCATACAGTACAGTACAGTACTGTACAGTACAGTACTGTACAGTACTGTACCATACAGTACTGTACTGTACAGTACAGTACAGTACTGTACAGTACAGTACTGTACAGTACTGTACCATACAGTACTGTACTGTACAGTACAGTACAGTACTGTACAGTACAGTACAGTACTGTACAGTACAGTACAGTACTGTACAGTACAGTACAGTACTGTACAGTACAGTACAGTACTGTACAGTACAGTACAGTACTGAACAGTACTGTACTGTATGGTATTGTTATGTACTGTGTTGTAATGTACAGTACTGTAATATACAGTGCTTTTTCTGTTGAAGTTAATTTAGTATAATAAAGTGCATTTTAGGCTCGCTTAAAGCCCCTCTATATAGAGCAATTTTTTGTAAATGTTGCTCAAAATTGCAGAGAGCCATTGAAAGGCTTTCAGTAGCACATGCTATTTAGTTTTTCATTACTGAAAAATTGCCCTGTATATAGGCTGATGAGAGAGCTGTCTCATATATATATTTTATAATCAAAAGATGTGGCTGTACAGGTTATGAAATATAATATTAATTGAAGTGATGAATGAATATATTTTCAATTTGAAGAAATGTCTTGTAATAGGCATAGTGCACTGCTCGGGGAGTTCTTAGTGATGACATTTTAGATAGGGTCCAAACCTGGTCATGGAGGGAAGTTTCTGCCAGTATTGTCAAAGGTTAATTTTTTGGCCATTAATTAATCCTCAGTGATCTTCTTTCAACAAACTGACTGTATCCCACTGATCCTCAGAGATACTCTAATTAACTTTGAAAATGGCTATTGTTGACAGTCATCTCTTTTATTAAGCTCATCAGCATAGTAAAATTTTTGGTAAATGTGAATGAAAAAGTGCATAATAAATTGAATCACCTTTATTATAAAGGCCTTTCCATGTAAATAAGTTTCTTTAGGTGCAGGTACACACAAATACGGTGGTACCTCGGGATACGAACTTAATTCGTTCCAGAAGGCTGTTCGAGTGGCGATACCGAACCAATTTGTTCCCATAAGGAATAATGTAAATTAGATTAATCCGTTACAGACTCCCAAAAATACACCTATAAAAGCACTTACATAGATCTTTCTTTCAACACACCGGCCGTATCCCACCGAGGCGGGGTGGCCCAAAAGGAAAAATGAAAGTTTCTCCTTTTACATTTAGTAATATATACAGGAGAAGGGGTTACTAGCTCCTTGCTCCCGGCATTTTAGTCGCCTCTTACAACACGCATGGCTTACGGAGGAAGAATTCTGTTCCACTTCCCCATGGAGGACTTACATAGATACACTTACATAATTGTTCGAGTTTTGAGCTGTTTGTAACTCGAGGTACGAATGTAATGTTACACAGATTATCATACATAGTAATGTGTAAATTATCTAAGACAACCCAAAAAAGTCAGATAAAGTGACTTCGTTACACTGGATTATTTAATTTTGGAGGTTCTTGTTACAGCTACATTTACAAAAAATTGCTGTGTATAGAGTTTTGTGAAAGAGCTGACCATACAGGAATATTTTTTGTGTTTGGTGTGAAAGAGACAGAACTTAATCACATCTAAACTGTTATATATCTGTGTGCCTCTGGCAAGGCAGTGATAGTGTGAATGATGGTGAAAGTGTTTCTTTTTCTGGTCGTCCTGCCTCAGTGGGAGATGGTCGATGTGTTAAACAAAACTACTTTTGTCATGCAAAATATACATGTATAACTCTACAACATTGCTAATTTTTAAATTGATCTCGCAAAGTTTGTATAATTAGTAGTTGTTATAAGCTCATTCTTCCTATAGAGTTGTTCATAGACATTACCTGTACCTTAGGTTTTTGATGCTTTAGAATTTGAAATGTTACCAATAATTTATTCCCTTTCACATACTATTTATTCATCTTAGTAAACTTGGGCCATCGTGGATAATGAAGTGTAACCAAGGCCAGTACAGGTCGGCCATCATTTATCTGGCAATTAGTTATCCGGTTCCATCAGTAATCCGGCACTAATTTTGGCTAGCATAATTTGAAATTTCATCATTATACTGGCTCAAATCATTGTACTGACTCAAATTTCATCATTATACTGGTTCAGAAATTGTGCAGATGGTTGTAAACCCACAGCAGCAAGCCAGTGGAGCAGAAAGCAGTGATGAAGAGGAAGATGTAGCAGAAAGAGTCTCTATTGATAGGTTAATTAAGTGTATTTTAACCTAACCACTCTGTAATCCAGCAAAATCATTAATCTGGCACACTACAGGTCCCAATGATGCCGG